TGGCACCTTTAACAAACAAAAACCCCCAAAGCCTTACCACAATCCAGGTTAGAGAATGGGGCTATGAATAGTAGTTCCTTACACTGGCCGGCCGGCACTTCTGCCTTTTCGGAGGGCTTTCCCGTCTACGCTCTCATTTGATTTTCAAACTAGTGTGGGGAGGCCAGAGGTGTGCCAACAGGTTGTCTCCCCATTTCACAGATGAGGAGGCCGAGGCCTGAGTGCAGGATGTGACAAAGCCGCAGGTCAGTCATCTCGGGAGGGGCCAAGAGCAGATCCTTCTCACCCCCCACCCCCCGGGGCGAGCTGGGGGGGGGGGGCCCTTCTTCCCACAAGGACACGCCCTCTGCCTCCGGGGAAGTAGCGGTTCCGGGGCTCCAGCCTGCGGACAAACGAAGCCTTCCGGCTGTTTCTGTGTCCACTTCCATTTGGAGAGATTCAAAGACCAGAGAAAGAACAAGTATAGGCACTTGACGAGGATAATGATAAAACTACAGTTGCTGAACAGATCTTGGGGCCATGACGTGTTACGCTCTGAGAAACACGGCCCCGTGACCAAAATGATCCTGGTCCTGCAGCCGCCTTCTCTCAGCCCTCCCTGAGGGCCCAGCCTTGACCCTGCCCAGCCCCTGCCCCTCCCACTGCACCGTGCCCCGCCCCCTCCAGGGGAGCTACAGTCCCCTGACCACAGCACAGTGTGGCTCAGAGAGCTTCAGTTCAGTGGTCCAAGGTCACATGGCCGGGAGGGGCGGCCCCGAAGTTCACGGCCAGCCTCTCTGACCTCTGACCCTGTGCTGCCTTCTGTCTCCCTCTCACACGCACCCCCACCCCCGCCTTACTTTTCATCGGTGGTCTTTGCCCCACTCGGGTTTTTCCAACCTCTACATGTGCATTAAAAGTGTTCTCATTGATGCGAAAGCCGTCAGCAATGGGCCTGGTTGATTTCTGCCTGGATGTGTGCCTGACACAGAACGGCTCTCACGGCAAGATTGTCGGATCGATTTGAACTTGAACGTGCACCCACACCCTGAATAAATGCCCAGCAGCGGAAGGTAGCCGAGCTCTCCTGCCTGGGCTGGGGGCCCTGGGTGTGAGGGCACGGGGGCATCTCCCAGCAATCCGTCCGGGGCTCCTGGGTCCAGCCGGTTCTGCCACCTGCTACGACACAGGACTTAGACTTTCTCTAAAACCTCACTCACTTTCAGCATCCATACGATAGGCATGATCCTTAGGATCCACAGTGCAGGGTCTGGCGAGAATTAAGTCCATTTGCACAAGCGTTTAAAACAGTGGCTGGGACACAGTGCACGCTCGCAGGGCTTTGGTCCTGTCTGTGGACGGGGAAGAAGCTGTCTGCGCGCTGAAATCCCAACCCACATACACCCTGCCTGTGTGCCACATACAACATGCTGTCCCGCGTTTTCTTTATTTCCTGTTTAACTTTTAATTACACACCATCTGTGCTTCCTTTTCTAAGAGGCTCACTAAATTCCTTACGTTCTAAAATTATTTAATTTGTATTTTATCATGCCAGGTTGAGCCAAAGCAGTTAGTTGCAAACTTAGGCAATAATTTCTTCACATGTGCCTGTTAATGGACAAAATCCAGGCTTATTCCGGGGTACGGAAGAAGGTGTTTAAAGGACCAGAAGTTGTGGAGAAAGACAAAAAAAAATGAAGACTTCTCTTATTTTTATTCTTTTTTGATTTTTTTTTTAATGTTTATTTACTTTTAAGAGCAAGAGAGAGAGAGACAGAGCACAAGGCGGGAGGGGCAGAGAGAGAGAGGGAGACATAGAATCCGAAGCAGGCTCCAGGCTCCGAGCCATCAGCACAGGGCCCGACGCGGGGCTCGAATTCACGAACTGTGAGATCATGACCTGAGCCCCCCAGGCGCCCCTCTACTTCTCTTATTTTTAAATGAGTTCCTGCTTTTCTCTGCTTTCCCTAAGTGGCAGAAGGGGGTCTTTGAACGTGGAACCAACCCAGAAGTCCACGCGAAAGCCTGCATAGTGTAGCACCTTGAACAGATGTCTCCTGCCCCTAGAAAATCATGTCACCTGTCAGCAGCAGGGCCGGGTCCCCCGGAGGCGACTCTCTTCTTGCCAGAAGGTCAACATGTGGCACTCAAGGTGGGAAAAAAGTCCCCTTGTGATATCCCTGAAAAGGGGCAATTTGAGCAGATTTAGAAGCGGCGTGGGTGAGGACTTTCGTTTTCAAATATTTGGCAGTGTATTGAGCAGCTGAATTCTTTTCTTAAGCCTAAGCGGCTTCTCTTTAATTTAGCCTCCTGGCTCATGGTTTGTTGTTATTGGATGTGATGTAACGTAACATTATGTCATTATTATAATGTAATGTCTAATACCACTTGGCATCAATAACCCGTGCGCCACGAGGCACGTATAGCTGTATGATGTTTTCCATCAAGTTCTTCTTTCGATTGACAAAACCGTTCCCTTCCATCTTTGACTTCTTAACTGCTCTAATGGAAGGGCTATGACTTTAGAGGCATTTCAATTCTGCAGGTGTTTTTAGGGGCAGTGGAAAAAAACATCTCACACAGAGGAAGGGGATTTCCTCTGTAACATGCATGGAAGCTTTAAAGAAGGTTTGGGGGAAAGACGTACGCATGAATAATTCTGCCTCGGTTTTTGCTACCTCTCCCTGACATACAGCTACCCTTGAAGAAAATTCCAGCAAATCCTAAAGGGCACTTCCTAGAATTTGGCAACACTGATTTGATCACCCGAGTCCCTCCAACAGACCTGAAAATGCAACTCTGAAATAGGGATTTCCAAACCTCCATGCACAGCTTATCTAGAATTATCTAGACAGATTTTGAAGATCCCGATTCCCAAGTCACCTCCCGCCCTCCCCCTCCACCCCGCACCAGTGAAATCAGAACGTCTGGGGGCTGGGAGTCAGGCATGGGTACCTTTGAAAAATCCCCGTGAGTTTCCAGTATGTGGGGACATTTGGAAACCACTGTCTGAACATCTATATAGCTGGCCTCTGCTGGATAAACCTCATAGGCTCCACCTACCGGGCTCCTATTTTAGAAATTTCTCATTGCTTTAAAATCTTGTATTTCAACTGAAATGAGTTGAGCCCCACCTAAGTGCTGAAGATCCTCTGGTTGCTTTCACATTCATTGAATCCCTTGAATCCCGGAGGAGCCTTAAAGAGGTGAATGGTGTCCTATCCCTGCTGCAGGTGACTGGGCTGAGGCCCAGAGGGCTTCCCTCGCTGGAGGAAAAACTCACAGTTGGTTAAGGGGCATGTCAGTCTTGGAAGGGAGGCCTGGGTCCCCGTGCTTTTCCGTCACCTCATTTACCTAGTCTCCCAGGATCCAGTAACGTGTATGGTTTCTTCTGCTATTGCCATCGACGTAAATTCCCTTCACTCTGTTAGAGGGGAGATACCAAGGGGCCACACCACGACCCACGTCCAGGGGTTGGGGGGGGACTCCCAGCATCTGCACTGGGAACCGCTACCTTGTCCCCACCAAACACGTCTATAGCTGGCATCCTCACCCCCTCTCGTGGCGGAGGCAGTAAGCCTCCGAGAGATCCCGTCTCCGGTCCAGACCTGCGAGCTGATGGGCCGATTCCCCGGGTTCGAATCTGGACCCTGACCCTCGGGCACACACCCGCGTCGCCGCCCCCTCTCCGCCATCTGCCCCCTCCCCTGCCACTGTAAGAAACAACGTCCCTGAAGCCCCGTGCTTTGAAAATTTCTCCTCAGGCAAATGGTTCCTGGACATCTCCTTTGGTTGATTGGGTTTGTGGGAAGGCCCCAGATGCAAGCAAAGCGCCTGGAGGAACCGCTCCCTTGACCGGGACAGAGGCTCGGCATTGCATTGCATCTGTGCGTCCATCTAGAATGAGGGACCGCGCCAATGTCATGTCACACTCTCAAAGGAGTGGCCCAGGGATGGGAAACACCACCGCCGAGTGAGCAGAAGGGCAACCTGTTGTCTGGCCCTGTCCCTGCTCCCGGCACATCAGCGGTGGTGATCTTCCTCCCTCCCTTTAAGCCCTGAAAGGATGCTCAGAACTCGAGTCCACAAAGATCATGTCCTGTTTGAGTGAGAGCCAAGGTTTACACACAGTAGGTTCTTGCTCCTTGAAATACAGTTTATGTATTTATTTTTCAAATGTTTTATTTATTTTTGAGAGAGAGAACACAAGTGGAGGAGGGGCAGAGAGAGAGGGACAGAGGATCTAAGTACAGACTCAGTACAGACTGAGCCTAAGTACAGACTGACAGCACAGAGCCTGACGCGGGGCTCAAACTCATGAACCGTGAGACCATGACCTGAGCTGAAGTTGGATGCTTAACCAACTGAGCCACCCAGGCGCCCCCTTGAAATACAGTTTAAATTTCCTGTTGTCCCTCGCTCCTGAGGCCAAGGCCACAGGTCTTAAGCAGCAGGGGGGAACTAAACCCACACAGCCGCTCCAGCCTCACCTCTCCCTCAGCAAATAATTTACTTAAAGGCACTTGTGTGCAGGGGCACCTGGGTGGCCCAGCCAGTTAAGCGTCTGACTTCAACCCAGGTCATGAAGTCAGGGTTTGTAAGTTCAAGCCCCACATCAGGCTCTGCGCTGGCAGCTCAGAGCCTGCTTGGGATTCTCTCTCTCCCTTTCTCTCTGCCCCTCCCCTGCTCACTCACCCTCTCTCTCAAAATAAATTAAAGAAAACGAAATTACATGAAATCAGGAATGCAGTATAATAGCGACAAGAACATATTATTTTCAAATCACGGTCATGTGTCTCCTAGTGCTGGAGTCAGCACGACAGCGTCACGTGTGGGGCACAGGTCGGCTGTCCTGCAAAGAACCAATGTCTGCCTTCAACGGGAGACAGCTCTGCCGCGAATCACGTCTGTAAAATACATGCCAGTTCAAAGACTAGGAAAACACGGGCTGGAAAGAAGTTTCTGCGGTCCTAGAGTAGGGCCACTATCAGGGCATCTCCAAGTCAGCATTTCCTGTTTGCCGGCCCGATTTCCAGCACCTTCCTTTGCACCTTTCTACGTGGGTGCTGGTGACAAGGACTCGTTCACAAATGCCTGTTTTCATTCCCTCTCTCCCCCTCCCTTTTAACTCTTTCCTTCAGCTCTGCCAATATTCCAGGATACACCGGTAAGGTTCATTTCACAGCCAGCCACCCAGCAAATTCTGATATTCCATCAACGGCCCCATCGCCAGACTCAGAAGTGTACCGGTGAGTATTAAGTCCCATCACTCAGGGCGTTCAGATACTCTGGGCGGGGTGGGGGAGGGTCCTCATTATGGTCATTCCACTAAAGAACAATTAACTACAAAGAGCAAATTTACATCAGGGTGTCAAATCCAAAAGACAGAAGAGTTCATTTCCCTGCTGTGGTGGTGAAAAGGAGCCCCGTAGGAAGACACTCCTGCCGCGTTAGGTAAACAGCAGGCCTGCCTCTTGGACTCACAGCTTTGCACACACACGACCCTCCTGCATCAACACCGGAACACGCCTGGGTGCATGGAACACACCCCGTGAGATGCACGTTCGCTTCCCCCCAATCGCCGCCTTCTGTTTCAGAAGAGACAACATTCTGTTGAAAGTCGACATACGGTTTTAAACACCGTTTCGCAAATTGAAAGCTGGAGACGTTAGATGGAAGGTTATCGCCGACCCCGTCGTTCAGAGCTGCCGGAGAGGAGTTGCACGCTGCTGCTCGTTATGACTCAAATTTGAAAACATTTGATGGAAGTCCCGGCCTCGCAAACAAGATGACGGTTTTGAAAAATGCAAACTCAGAGGTCTTAACCAGGTCCAGTCGCTGGCTCCTGCAAGGAAATAAACTACCCCAGTAGGTCCCTGTGCGTCCTGGAGGCGGAGGGAGGCAGTGGTCCCTCGCTACCCCCCAGAGGGTGCCTTTTCTCCTTTTGGTCTTAGCAAACATTTATTGGGCATCTGCTCTGGGCCCAGGCGCTGTTCGAGGCACTGAGCGCACGGGCTGAACAGACACGAGGCTCGCTTTCAGGACCTTATGTGCTGGTGTGACCAACGGAGGGCACAGACGCCCACAAGTCACTGAGGGAATAAGATGAGTTCAGCGAGTGCAGTGAAGGAGAAAAGGTGGGGAGACGCCGTAGCCAGTGCCTGGACAGGGTGCTGATTTAGCTCGGTGGTCAGAGAGGGCTTTCTGAGGAGGTGACCCTCAGGTGGGAGTCCTCCCGGGTTTCTTACCTGTTCTGAAAGGCAGCAAGGGTAAAGGGACTCCTGGGCCCAGGTGGGCAGTTGGTATGGCTGTGTGCTAGTCCCAAGGAAGTCACAGGAGTTAGACCAGTTTGCATGGAGCTCACAGGCTAGCGGTGAGCAAGAAACACACTGCTGGAGTCCGAGGATGACAAGCGTCACCACAATCGTGTCCCTGACGTGGGTGAGCTCTTCGTCTCCACCGGGCTACCCAAGTGCTTTGTGCTTAACTGACCCACCTCCCCAACCCAGAAAGCCTGTGAGGAAGATGCTCTTGTTTTCCCGTTTTACAGGTGAGGAAAGGGAGGCAGACACAAGGTTCTAGGCGAATTCTAGGAAGGCTTCATGGAGGGAGGGTTACTTTGGACGAGGGCCTTTGGTCTCAAAGATATTTGGGGGGCCAGGCTGCGTGTGGCAAGGCTGGCTTCCTCCAGGGATCCCACACACGAAGGCCCTCACTACGCAAGCGTGGACCACAGGAGAGCCTCGTGTGGCCCTGTGTCTGAGGCACCCAGATCATTCCACACCCTGTGCACAGGACCCAATTCCTCAGGCAGGGACCAAGCGGGGGACGTGCCTGCTGACACAGGGCTTCCTCAACTGATCTAAATTCTGGGTTTGCTGATTGCTTAGGGTCTGGGCCATCTGACAAGATGCATTTTGAAGGAGAACATTGGCTTTCTAGGCTAGTGTTTTGCATCCAACCAGTTTTCTCTCAAGACACATTTTCAAAGGTCACAGGTCCAGTCGCAAAGGCAGGACTGACAGAAATTGAGACAATTAGTGTAATTTTATTTCACTGAAGGGCCCAAGGAAGCAATGGCACAATTAAATGCATCCTAATGTCTGTCGTGAAGACGTAGCTCCCAGAAGGCTGGAAAAATACACCGTGTCTGAGCGGTTAATGATGGAGGAGAGGCCCGATGATGTTTTCCCAGGGCAATGCCAACCTTCCTCATCTCTGGCCTTCTTCCTTCAGGATCCACCTTCTCTCCCCAAACGTCTTGGCCTGCATCCCTGACGCCCTGTTGGTATAGCATGTTTCCACAGCCCCAGGATCTAGCTGTCCAGTGTTCTACTATGTCCCAAAGAAGTCTGTATTTCTTTTTTTATTTTTTTTAAATGTTTATTTACCATTGAGAGACAGAGAGACACAGAGCAGGAGCAGGGGAGGGGCAGACAGAGACGGAGACACAGAATCGGAAGCAGGCTCCAGACTCTGAGTTGTCAGCACAGAGCATGACGCGGGGCTCGAACTCGCAAACTAGGAGATCAGGACCCAAGCTGAAGTCGGACACTTAACCGACTGAGCCACCCAGGTGCCCTGAAGCCTGTATTTCTAAGTCGAAAACCATCCTCCACTGTTACTGCTACTGTTATGACTATTTCTAGTGTTACCGTGTCGCTCCTGCTGTTACTAATGTCACTACTGCTGTTGCTAATGTTACTACTGCTATTCCTACTTGAGAAAAGAACTTGAGTCTTCGGCCACACCCTCCAGCCCAGGTTTAGGCCCCTGCTGACCCCCTGGGAAGCCCCCACACTCGCCCCTCATATCCTGCACACACACCACTGTCATCTTGCTGCCTCAGAGTGGGGACCAAGAACCCTCCGAGGCAGCTTCTCTGGGGTTCTTATTCTTGGGGTTCACAGAGGCTCTGGAGACACAGTGGCAGCACCCAAGGGTGACAAGGAAGCGACCAACCCCTGTTGGGCCAGGTGCCCAAATCTCCATCCCTGTGCCCACCCCTAATGGCTGCACCTGCAGGCACTGGGGCTTGGCAGTGAGGAAGCACGGTGGGGTGCTCAGATTTTACAAAGCACTCTCTGGGGTGCCGGGTGGCTCAGTGGGTTAAGCATCTGACTCTTGATCTCTGCTCAAGCCCCATGTCGGGCTCTGCACTGACAGTGTAGAGCCTGCTTGG